CGAAATTCAAAAACAAAAAAAAATCTCTCGCAGAAGTGCAACAAAATTTGCGATATTTACTCCTTTAGAATAACAGGCACCTCATCTGAGCATTAATAAAATTTGTCGGTGGGACAGTCCCCCATAACGACATATAATGTGATTTAAAGATTAAAATTTCGCCCAATAAAACATATTCGTCTCGTTTTATTTTCTGTCAAAACGTCTCCACTACCTGATAAATTCAATTCTTGGAAATTATAAACTTGAGACATTTTGAAAAAAAAATCACATGCTCCTGTTTAATACAACTATGTTTAGTTATTATTACGTTTTAATTTGTGATATTCTCTGGCGTTATACTATTTATTGATCAATCCCTTAAAACAAACAAAAAAGCGTTACTTGATGTTTTGGCCAGTCTGTATAAAAACAAAAGCTTTAGGGTTATTCTTAATTTTTGCCAACAAAACAAACATTGAACTTAAGCGTCGTTTATGTGACCGAAAACCTTAATTAATAGCACGTTTATAGAGAAGCAGATCGCAGTAATGTTACATTTTTAAACGAATATCAAAGATTAAAACTTCTAAACAAACTTTTCTCCACAGACACTTTTAATTCTTTCATATTATAAGTTCAGCAAAGAAATAGGATATCCAATGTATTTCATAAAATTAATGTTAACTTTGTTTTAAAACATGCAAAAAAAATCTAGAATTTATTAAAGATCTTAAAGTTAATAAAATTATATATATATATTTGAAAACATAAAGAGTATTATGATTTAAATCAGCACAAGTACGTCTCCTTACGAGCGTGATTCAACGTAATACAGCACAGATGAGTAATAACCAGTTATTATCAATGTTTTGGTGTTATGGTATTCTAAAATATCTGTCTAGCCCACTAGGTCTCCCACTCATATACGCATACACACATGACTGTACATGCGCTAACATCATGCGTCAAAGAATCTAGACGCGACATGTTTGGAGTAAAAGTTTCTCTTATTTCTTTTTTTACTTTTATATCTTAGAAAGTTTACATCTACTCGTTATTTTCATCTATTGTTATGCATTTCCATTGTTTTTGTATTAATGCAAACTGCTTTACAGGTTCAACCTGCCACTGATACAAGAAAAACTGTCTTTACCGATCACAAGCCCCTTTCGACTGACCAGGGCACAGGTCACGCCTACGAGGCAACGCCAGACGCTGGGATTGACAGTTACGCCACTTTTCCCAGGAAAAGTAAGTGTACGCATTACTACAAAATGTTTCTCTTTAAAGACACACCAAAGATGAAATACCTATAAAGTCGCTACTTCGTAGTCTAACTTATATAGAATCACTGACTTTTTAAGTTTTTACTTTCGGAAGATACAGCACACACTTCTATTTAGTGTATACGAGTTCAGTTTCTTTCATAGCAGCACCATGCTGTGGTAGCGACAGTTGATCCGTCTCTGGCGTATTTGGAATAACAAATAGTGTGGATTTCCAATTAATGACCACTATATTCTTCGTTGTGTATAACAAAACGTGTAGCCATAGTAAACAAGACGTTGGACATATGCTAAATAAATTAACTGCGATTCTTCTGAATTAATCTTTTAGATTAATTTCTATAGCTGTGTTAAAACCGAGTTATCTTAATTGCTTCGAGTTATTGTGACCTGAAGTTTGAAAATGTAATCCATTCAATAACTGTAACCCTAACGCCTCAGCTAAGAAGACAGACTCATCTGATACGTTGAATAAAGTATAACCGATGTGACCAGACTGATGTAGCCGAATTCATTTAACTAATTGAATTTGTGAATACTGTGGACCAATTCATTTCGGCTTAAAGTTTTTTTTAATTATCAGTTATTGCTGAGTTCAATATGTTCATTATAAAATTATTTAGTTATCAGTAATTTTGTGACCAGTCCGTTGAATTTGACTCACTTGGTTATCAATAACTGTTTTGCCCCATCCGTTGGAGCCGGATTCATTTAATTAACAAAAACCGTTATAATCAGTCTGTTGAAGCTCGACTCACTTGATTATTAGTAATTGTTTAACCCCATCCGTTGGAACCGGATTCATTTGATTATCAAAAACCATTATGATCAGTCCGTTGAGTTAAACTTATTTGGCTAAGTGTGACCGCTTTTGTCGAACCTTGAAACTATAAAAGAATTTGATAATGTAAAATCATTGTGATCAGGATTTTCAAATATATTACTATATTAACCATAACAGTTGTCATATCATTATAACTATAAACTCATTTCATCAATTATTCATAGACCATTGAATGTATAATACATTGAATATCTGCAATCGCGGTTATGTTTGGACTTTAAGTTGTATTTCTTATTAAGATGAGCTGGGAGTGGCCTAGTATAAGTGTTCCTGAACTGTGAATCAGAGGTTCATGGTTTGCGTCTCGTTGTCAGTACTTTGTGGTCGTGGATTTGCTATGAAAGTAGTGGTCAAGTTCTAGCATTAGGTTAGAGTATCCCAAGAGCTAGCGGTGGGCACTATTGACTGGTTTCCTTCCCTCTAGTCCGCTTAAAATTAAAGAAAGCTATCTGCAGATAGCTCAGCTCTGTGTACTTTTACGCGAAAATTCTAAAAAACGATATATTATGACTAAGTTACGTGTTTGTTTTTCCATCTACAGCTTTGGAGCTAGCAGGATCAAACTTGGCAAGCGGACTAGAGAAGGCTTGGGTGTGTGTATGTGTCCTTATCTGAATGGCGAAGTCCCTTATCAAGGGGGGGGGGGCTATAATGAGCTCGGTATGATGAGGGTCTAGGAGTATTTTTCAGAGTCCCTAAACCGATTATGACATTTTTTTTTATTTCTGGACCCCTTCGGGATCCCAGCAGAGCCAGGTGTGAAACAGTGTTAATTATCCCATTATATCCATTCACAACAAAACCAAATTAAATGCGGCACACCTGCTCAGGTACCACTCGCATGTGTTCTAACGGAGCTTGTATTCGGGTACGGACATCATTGGGGTAGCTATAGAAGTAATTGGGTATAATGGAGGAGTTTTGATCGGTAAATGATCATGAGGGGGGTATTTTGAAACCGCAGTAAAGAACGAGTATTTTATGCTAGTATTCAGTAGTACGCAGTATTTAAAACGTAAAAGAATTACATACTAATTTTTTTTTTCGAACAGGCTTAACATTTAATTTTAATATAACAAAACTTCTAAGGAAAAGTTATATTACTCTTTAAGTTAGTTTAATCTCTCGATTTCAGAGAAAATGTATTCGTCTTCGGCATTCTACGAAGGTTCAAGTACTAAATACCCAACTGTCGAGGAGCAAGTCGAACTCTGCCGAAAAATAGCCGACTCTCTTTCAGCTGACACGAGCAGGAAATCACATGGGGCCAGTATGTTTAATCGACAAGTCGAAAAATCTAATAAATGGGTACATAAAGGTAAGTTATATCTTTACCTATCTAAATACATTTTATGTTTCCTAGTTTGAAAATTAATAAAAAATGAAATATCATCACAACACCATAAGTACAGAGACAAATTTGATCGATTTTTTAAAAAAGTTTCGGAAGTTTGAACAGTTCGGGTAAAAATACAGTTTGGAAACTATCAGGCAAGCATTTTCTAAACCTGAGTTATACTATTAAAATAAAGTAATACAAATTTTCCTACCAAGTTTAAATCACCAATAAATATGCTGACACGATCTTAAGAGTTCACGGAAATTGTAAAAATGCTTTGTGCACTTGCGCACGAATGTCTTAAGTTTCTCTTGCTGTTTATAGATAAGATGCGTCTGGCGCCAAAGATTTGTGCCTGTAGTATATAAAGTGAAACCCCACAGTCAAGTTATTTCAACTCCTTGAACACGGTATACTTTGCATAAGTGTTGACATATGTTGACATTAGATTAATGAACCAGATAACACATGTTACAGTGTTTTAAGCTTGCTTTTATGGTTACTGAAAATACAATATCTGGAACATTTAGCCTCAGTTGTTTAATATAGCCATGATTACAGTCCCTTAAAGTATACAAATAACAAACTGTTTTAATGAACAAGTATATCAATGTTGTTGCTACAAAAGTTTTAGAATTTTAATCAAAAACATACTAATCCTATTCACGTGTGTTTTGTTTACCACAACTATAAGTTGAGTACATTATATCAAAACGATTCTGAGTATGCAAATCAACAAAACACCCGTCATCTGCAGCGAATACAAAGTCGCGGTGGAATTGCATATTTTAGATCTACATTTTAACATTGTTTGGCGTCATGTAGGCAGTATTATTCTACCAAAAATTTATTAGTTATGGGAAGTGTGTATGACAACCCATTCGACTCAAAATATTCATACATTCAAATCATAAAGACGTGTTTAGATCATGTCATCTTTGTACACTAGATAGCTTATAGAAAGCTAAAAGAAACAATGGTGTACTTTAGACATGACAGCCTTATGACGGAGCTTTTTGCAAGTTAACTATACTGCAGGGTTATTTTCAAGAATCACGGCCTTCAGATAGAGTGTGACAGGACGTGATGACATGGACTGCAACAACGTGGTGAGGCTCCAAAATAGTTTTCATATAACGTTCTCATTCTTTACATTAGCTGTAACCATGTTAATTAATGCTCTTTAGTGGGCTAAAGTGGCAAGCAGAATTAGTCCTAGTTTTTGATATTCTTAATAAGCGGATTATACGTCATGTACCAGTCATTAGTCTATCCCTACAAAGTTTCATATAAATATTATGAAGTGTTTTACTTTCAACATTTCGATGTGTAAACAACACATTCAGGACTATTAAAAACACAACCAGGCATAAATTCCGAGTATTGATCAAATGAGCTCCTAATCAAGTGTTAATATAATTAACTTGATTAAACAAAAGTGAATACCAATCATTTATCTTTCAATAACTGTATAATAATAGATTGTTGTAATATTGTTATTGTGGCAGTTTGTATAACTTGACCAAAATCAAGACTATTGTTATAGTTTTAAAAACGATATTATTTCTAAACACATAATTAAAATGTCCTGAGCCTAGGTTATTATTCTTAAAACAATTTATTGGTAAGGTTTAGATTTGAGAAGGTTCACTTTCAATAAGCCTACCCACCCTTCAATAAATAAAACTGTTGTAATGTATATATATGTGTGTGTGTGTGTGTGTGTGTGTTACCATGAGCTTCAGAAGCTGTCTAATATTTTCATTAACATTGAATTTTTAGAGTTAAAATGAACTCTTAAAACACAAATATATTTTGAGACACATCTGTAATGTTTCGAAAATCAATTTTTGTGAAATTGTTTACATTTCACACTAGATGTAAAGTTAGCGCTTTAGTCTTTCAAACGCTAAACCACCAGTGGATCAGCGATAAATGTGAAGGCTTACAACGCTTAAAATCGGGTTTCGATACCATTGGTTGACACAGAACAGATAACCTATTGTGTAGCTTTGCGCTTAACTACAAAAAACTCCATTTGCACAAGACGTTAAATTCAAATTATAACTATAAGTTTGTCCAAGTTTATATATAATAATTTTTACAAGGTACTCTTGATATTTTTCCGGCTTGACGAGCAAAGATATTCTTTTATTATCATCCTTTCATTTTTGTAAAGTCACTAACATTTACAACGTGCCTCTCTTGACGCCTGTGGGTTTCGTTCTTTTGCCAAACTGTCAGAAGTGACGTCAACAGCAGCTTCTATCTCCATTTATGTATGCATTACAGGAGAGAGGCTAGTATTATAAAAGTTAGTCACAAGAAGCCGTTACACTGATGTATTAGTGTTGGAACCTAAATTTCTCTCCGCTGGCGTGGCATCAAGAAGAAAAAAGTCATGTACATAAATATAACTATTTACTTATGCTGTTTGATAGTTTTTAACTCTACCTTGTGCAGGTATGTTCCTCTAAGTGTATCTATGCTATATATAAAAAATATAAAATATTTCTAAGCATTCACACATTTCCAGTGACAAATATTTGCATGCCGAATGGTATTATTGTGAACAATATGAATTAACATTTGTATATTTTGAATAACACGTAACTTATGCGGTAAATCAAAAATACATTAGGTATCTTCATTACAGATTATATTTTCCATTTTACTTTTGGAGAAGATGAAAAGACACCTGCAATATAAATAATTAAACAGTTAGCCAATTGTACAATACTGAATAATAAATTGCATGCAATGCCATAATATTATTCACACATCTGAGTTAATTTAAGTTGCTGTATGGTGAATTAAAAGGAACTTAAAACTCATAATATTATTCACACATCTGAGTTAATTTAGGTTACTATATGGTGAATTAAAAGGAACTTAAAAACTCATAATAATATTCACACATCTGAATTAATTTAGGTTACTGTATGGTGAATTCAAAGCTTTAAAACCCATAAATAGTATAAACACATAACCACTGTAAGAAGTTTAGTTGTATTTCTTTGACTTACAAACCCAAACTTTGCTGATGAGCCTTCAATCAGCGAAACTACAGTCCACAGCAGATGGTGCGACGAATCAATAAATAGATTAGGCTTCTACGTCACAGATTATATTCTCAATTTTACCTTTAATGAAATGAAGTGAAATCTGTAATATAAACTCGTAACCGTACGTTTTAAGTATTTTGGTATCAATACATTCATGTTGGCAAGGGTATTTTTAGATCTGCATCTCTTATAGTAAAAACAAGTACTGTAAAGAACTGTCAGCTTGCATGAATGATTCATTTTAACTGCTGCTCACACATCAGCGATTTAGACATACTGTTTTATTTATACTTTCGCCCCCAAGTGGTAAAACGGTATGTCTGCGGACTTAAAACGCTTGATACCTTGTTTCAATACCTGTGGTGGGCAGAGCACAGAGAGCCCATTGTGTAGCTTTGTGCTTAACTTCAAACAAATAAACAAATGATTTATACATTCTAACTAAAACATTTAATTTTGTTGCTGAAGAAGATCCGGTTGCTGTAGATCTGTGCAAAAATAAAAACTTTATTCTTGGTAACATTTCTATTCAATGGAAAATATTTTATTTCAAATTAATCTTTGAAGTTTGAGTGGAAAATCTTGACAAGAAAAGATACACTACATTAAGTTTAAAGTTCAGTTTCTTTTTTCTTTTTTTAGATATAAGCCGGACTGAAGGTAAAAGTTAAACAATTCAATCGGTTGAATTCTATTCTGAAAATTGTAATTAATTTGCTCATAAAAATTAAAATTGGTCATTTTCAAGACCAACATCATTAGCATTCAATACTGGAACCTAAAAATACGATTCACTGTATTTCTTTGTATACGATTTATACAAACACTTAACTTCAATTTAATACCGCAATGTTATAGAGTCAATCAATACGTTTTAATAAATAGTTGCTTTACGCAAGTAAGAGGCGAGATAACTCCATGCTACAATACATGTTATTCTATTTTGTGGTCGATCAGTACTGTCACAATAGTAATAATAAATTATGGGAACTTAAATTTTTGAGTCTTCAAGTCAATATATGATAAGAATTGTTATGTTCGCCTAGGACTATTTTTAGTGGAGTATCAGTAACCTTTAAGTTTGCCTGGTGGTTAGAGCACTCGACTCTGAATACACATGCTCAAACTTTCACCCGTAGAGACGTTACAATGTGACAATTAATCCCATTATTCATTGGTAAATGACAGCCCAAGAGTTGGCAGAAGGTGCTGCCTGACATTTGCCTTTCGGGAGCTCTGGTCGGCAGCTCAAAATTAGGGACGGCGGCAGGTAAACAAAAACAAAATCTTAATCTTTCAAAGACAAAAATCATGTAAACATCAACTCTGAATTAGAATTTTTTTTCGGTACTCAATTTTAAGACGTATTTCAATCTATATTATTTTCCTTTTTAAACACTGGATCTTTAGTTTCTGTTTATATTAACTAGCTTGAATACGTATAAAATCTTGTTGAATGGTATTCTAGCTGAGCTATTCCAATTGTAGATTCAATACGAAATTAGTGACATAAAATTCAATGTACAGTGAGTTTTGAATATCTGCAGAGGTTCAAGTACGCTATGTTAAAATGATTTTGAATATGCAAATCAACAAGTTACGTGACAACCACATTTGATATAAAGTTATGGTGGAAAGAAATGTATCAGAACTACATTTTGACATTCTTTGGCGTTTCGTATGTAGTATGATAATATCGAAAATTAATCGCTATTGTAAAGTATATCAACAACCCTTTCCGATGTAAAATATTCATACACTCGGATCATAAAGATGTGTTCAAATCGAAGACGGGGATATCCTTTATAATTAGAGACATTTTAAAACAAAAGTATATGGATCAACTTGGGGAACCAGGACCATACAGAAATGGATTTGCAAAATATCGTATTCCATTCGTAGTAAGCAAAGTGTGGCATCTTGTAACAGGTGAGAATCTGTTTTAGATAGAATTAATAAAACGAGACATCAACGTGTTTTACTCGTACAATAATTTATTTGTAAAGTTTAAAAAATATAACTTAATAGAAACTTTAAAACTCTACATGTTTCGGTGGAAGTAATTTCACCATCTTCAGGAGAATAAATCACGAAGTACACATGAAGTTTCTTATAAACCTAATGTACGTGTATAATTAACATCTTTTTACAGTGGCGCCTTGCTAGTTATACACAGGAACTGTAAGTTTTACGTATTGGGGTGAGAATCTGCGAACACAAACGTGAGGGCCAAAAGCCGTCCATGTGTCCCAAGCAACTGTACGCAACATAACTAAGAAAGGTCCGGAAAAGTGACACAATTCTCGTGTACACAAGTTGCTTCCATAGCATATCCGTTCAACCATTGCATGCCTCAAACAGCTGAAAAATTAAACGGATAATGATACTATTCTGTGCAAAGACATGCTGGTGAAGTTGCTTGACACAGGCTCTTTGGATATCTGTGCGATCAGACTGTTGAAATTGGCGCTAGAAAATTGTCGTCCTCGAACACTAGATAGCCAACTGAAAGCTTGCATGGGATAATAGTATACTTTGGACATGACAGCCTTACGACGGAGCCTTTTCCAATAGAATCTACGTTATTATCAGGATACATGGTCGCTATATAGAGCATTACTGGACGGTGTACATGGACTATAACGATGCAGTGATGCTCCAAAATCTTTTTGATATAACTTACTTAGCCTGTGATGTATAACTGTTCCATGATGTAACTTTATTCATTGATTGCTTTTAGATCAAGAGACAGATACTGGACCCTGTAAGCAAGAAATATTCAAAGAGGTGAAACTTACAGAACAAGTAAAAGCTGAACCTCCTAGACCTGAACCAGACAGTAGTAAAGAAGATGACACATCTCCAAAATTAAAGCTGATCCTCGACCCCAGACATCTACAAGATGCTAGTCAATTACGAAAGGAAGGACAAAATATTAGCGAACATAACGTAGTTAGTCCAGAAGTTTGTCTAGACCTGGTCAAGGATCTAAAATCTCCTGCTGGAAAAGGAGCTGTAATGTTTGCTAAACGTAAGCAAAATTCTGAAAACTGGATTGTTGATGAAGACAAAGTCAAAGCTCACCATCCGCCACAGAAGCCTCTTAACCCTCTGTCCACAGAAGTGACAAAAACTGGCCCTCAAGCAACAAGGCTCCAGGAAATGATGCAACATCCACGTCTGAAGATCGTCAAGAGTCCGTGGGAGGCTGCGCTGGAGTCTCCTATAGGAAGCTGTGATGGTGCGTTTCAGGAAGTCCAGCCTGAGTTTAAACCAGAACCATTGGCTTCTAGTAATCTCCAAGCAGGAAGAATTAAAGCTCAATCTCCCCCTGCAACCACACCAAAAGACAGTTTCGTTTCCCCCTCCAGCACTACTGTTACTTCTCTGGCTCCTGTAGTGGGCAGCCGTTTCCTACCATCTACGAACTATGGTCTCTATCGACCCAGTGCTCCTAAAGGTTGGGGTGGACGGACTAAAGGTGAGTAGACTTTCTTAAAAAGACTGAGGCTATAATATAACTTAACTATGATTTTTATATTGACTACATTATTATTTTCAGCATTTTGATAGACATTTTATCACTAAATGTTCACAATAAAATCTGCCTTATGAAACTCGTTTGAAGTTAACATATGTCACTTTTACATACTTTTACACGTGCACAAAATATTTTCAGTTACTTACAACAAATCGTTTTTTTTTTCTATCTAAGAACTGATATATAGATATTTTATTCTTCATATTTGAGGATGATGTTTAATTGATTATAAAGCATAATGCAAATCACACATAAATCGGTAAACTAATAAAAATATTCTTATTTCAACAATGTTCATTTTAGTGTCGGAGCTAAATAAATCGTTATAAATACGTCATTAGTTAACTGGTAACCAAAGTGTCAGCTCTGTTTATACAAGTTATTTTACAATAAAATCTTGCAGCTATATAGTATTTATCTTTATGCAATTGAAATAAAAATTTGACCGTATAGCATCTAAAATATGTTCGGGTCAGTTTACAGTTCTATCCAAGAGTGACAAAAGTTTAACTGTTAAGAGTTTTGAAAAATACTGGAAACCAACTCTAAAATACATTCACGCCAACTTCACTCCATCCAAAGTGCCACATGTGTAATAAGCGCCATTTGTGATACTTGTGCAAGGTGTTTTCATTTAACACGTATGTTATGAAAGGGTTGGGAAAAGGAAAAACCATGCATTGCGCCCAAGAATGCTCGGAAATGTTTGGTTTGGTTACAGTCCATTTAGCACTGGAGTTACGATAATTATTAGCAACGTTTAGGGAGAAACGAAAGACAATTCTCATCATTAAAATTAAAAGCAGCAGCCGAATAAGGGTTTGGAGACAGATTTACTGAGATTATGTTATACCTTCTATGAAAGGAGTGTACTGGGAGTGTTAAAACGTGAGCTACATTTCGTGCATTGGACATGGGACCTATCTGTGAAATATCTGAATGTTAGTTGCCAAATAAGGGTTTGGAGACAGAAAAACAAATAAAAAATCTGACTGTGACTATGCTATGAAATGAGTGTACTGGGAATGTTACGGTATGAGCTGCATTCTGGGCAACGTGCATTTAACTATAGGTGAAATATCTGCAAATTTAAATGTCGATGAAGACAAGAGATTTAAAATTAACAAGTTCTAGGGACTATGATAGAACCTTTTTAGTCAACAACCCAATATGCTTTGCAGAAGAATAAGTATGACTGCAAAAAAAAGATAAAATAATAATAATAATACGTACGGTCTGTTTCTTAAGTACCAATATCAGCATCTTCCAATGACTCATTCGAAATCCAAATCTTAACCCACCAAAAAAAAACACTATCTTCCAAACGTCATCGGTGAACCAGCCTCGACAGACACCAATGAATTAAAAGTGCACCAGACATCGCTAAAAACTAGTTGAGAGTTCGTCTCAAAGAACAGAAGAAGTCATTCAGCTTAAGGACAGTGTCATACCTTATTAATGTAATGATCATTAGAACCTTCTTTTATCTCCAGAAATTACGGCAGAGCAGCATATATGTAGGTGTTTGTGTTCAAGTCAATATAAATAGATAAAACCAGCAAGAGAAAAAAAGAAATAACAAAGATTTTGTAGCAGAGAAAGGAGTCATACAAGTGACAGGTTAAACAGGCTAATAAGGATTTTCCAATTAGGGGAGTACACAAACAATTTGGACAAATATCTGGTTTCGTTTTGTCAAACTTTGTTAGTACTGATACTATTAATCTCCAAAATTTTAACCTGTTTTATGAATATTTACTTTTTTTTTCACAGTAAGTACAACTCCTACAACTCAACAACCTCTCGTTCCTGAACCAGCAGCATCAACTCTTTCGGATAAAATCTCACCATCAACCTCACAGAAAATGTCTTTCCGTAACTTCAATAGCACTCCGAAAACTTGGTCAGCAGCAAAGACAACGCCAGAGCAATTCACATATAAACCAATTAAAGTCAATTTAGGATTTATTAAGTGAAAATCGGCCTCCTTCCTCGGAACTCAGTCTTCTTTATCTGTAGTCACTTGTTTACTAGCACTGGATTATTAATTAGTAATACGGATGATATTACATCACAATACCATTGATAATAATTTTATTTACGTTATGTTTTACAGACCCATTATGTAGGAAAATCTAACATGTAAATTAGGGGTAGAGGATGAAACAACTCTTGCTTAGCTCAGTGCGGAAAATTACGTGACAAAAACATATTTTTTATAGAATTCCCTTACTGCAACCAAAATGTACTCCTCCCATCTCATGAATTGGGTGTTTATGTCAATATTTTGAGTAAAAAAAATGGAGTGTATGATAGCATTTCAACTATACTTTATCAAAATGCTATTACATACTCTCCTCACTATAAAACCGTACTGAGCCAGTACAGGATGATGGGATTAAAACTATTATAATTATTATTGCTATGTAATATCGCATCAATTACCCATTAAGGTATCACGATCTTCTCGGTTAATTATTATACACTGCTTTACTGAATTATTTTGTAGTTAAAGAAAATATATTTAAGTATTTCTCAGTATCGTGGCATACTTATTTCAAAATATTTAAACAGTAGCCCTAGTTAAAAATGGCTAAAAATGTTTTCAAGTGGGCCACCTCTAGTGAATTTAAGTAAATATAGCTTTCTAAACGTGTGTTTGATCATTAATCTTCTTTCATAACGTCCAATATCAACTATATTGATTAATTTAAGTTGCTCCTTTTCTCACATTTTGCTTTGTGATTTAATTTAAAAATGTGAGTTCAAAAATGTTCAGTCCCATTAACTGCTGATTTTTGTATAATGGTGTTCCTACGTTGTGCTTTATCTGCTTATTCTGTGAAATATTTGAGTACATCCAAGATCATAATAAAATCTGTCTATGCTTTATAATCTTGGATGTACTCAAATATTTGCACCATCACCGTGGACAGGATGTTGCAGATGTTATTTGAAACATTAATTTAAATTAACGTTCTTTACCTACCCGCCTAAATCCTATCGAACTTTACATCATTGTTTTAAAAATACACCGTTTAACTACATTTTAATAATTTGTCTGGCGATGTTAAAGAAACTTAAAAGTAATTTCCTAAAATGATGACGATGATCAATATTTTTCTAGTTTCAAAATTCTACATGAACAACTGTGATTCGTTTATTTATGTGTATAGGTGAAAAGTTTGTCATCAGAAAGTTTAAAGGTACTAACAACACATTAGAAAACATATTTCAAATAATCATTTTTAGTTATTACAGACATATTTAATAAGAAACGGCATCGTATATTGACCTTCAGATTGTAAAATGCACTTAAAATAAGCATGTAAAATAAGTAGTAATTTAACAATGCTATTTTTTTGTTCTTCTTTATAACTCTATCTTTCGTTAACACTCGAATGTTTATGTTTTTGCTTTCAGAGAATAAGTTTCATTCAAGAAAATATTAGGAATTACTAGACCGATATATATCAGCTTTTAGAGGATATTACGTTTTGAAAACAGTTTATGTTCTTAAAGCTTTTGCTTAGGTGATGTTATATTTTAACTTTAATGCTTGAGAGAGAGAGAAAGAATAAAACACAATTGATGACTGTATTGTATTTCTATTATTGGAATAAACAAGTATAGATGCCTTAAAACGTATTAGTAATTTTTTGAGCCACTTTTATAAAGAAGAATTTAGACATGCCTACCGATCTTAAGCCTGAATGTAACTGTTAATCTTAATACATACGTAAATATTATTTGTAGGATAAAACTTGATATATCTCTACATTCGACTTAACCATTGCTTGCTTGTTTCAAGTCATGATTATCATCTAACGAATCAATTTTAGAAAACGAACACAAACTTTACCATATTCTGACTCAGTATGCTTCTGACTAACATATTTTCCACAGTATTCTCATTAATTGTTTAATTTTTTACACGTTATATATATATTCTAGAATGAGATCCCCAAAAGAACTCTTCTTTCAAGATTCGCCCAGTACCCTTTAAGGCAAAAAGAGATTAAAATGATTTTACTTTACTTAGTCTATCAATCCCATATGTGCGGTAAACAAAGTTGCTACATTGTCAGTTTACAGTAGTGGGCTATATTCCCAAGTAAAAGCAACCAGATACAGATGTTAGCAACGCCATTCCTGATACACATTATGTTGTCCAAAAAGCTAATCAAAATTTGCATTTAAAATACACTGAATACCACTTCAAAATACCTCACAACCTAAAGTACAACAAGATGGCTGTGAACAAAATATCTTTAGATTAAGCTGGACAGCGTTGTGACAATGGGGATTCCCCTAATTATGTGCACAAGCTAAATGCTCACATTAGCATTATAATAGAAGCATCTTGTGGTCAAGAAGTCCTGAATATTATACTATAGTACGTGTCATTGTGAACTGTGTGTATCATCCTGGATGAAAGCTGTCTTGTTGATCTAGAATTAATGTGTCTGTAAAGAGGTACGTACGATGGGCTACAAGAAGATACATTATTGCCGAGTAACGTGTTGCAAATGTGTTAGACCATGTTTGACTTAAATTTAACTGACATATACAGATTAGCCTCATCAGGTTTATTATGTAAAGCTTATGACTGACTTCGTGTAGTACATATACATATATTCAGAGTACTTTGCGAATGAGTGCAATTTTACTTTTGATTATAATATATATGAATTTAATAGTCTTTTCTAAACATTTTATATTAAATTAATGTAATACTTCGTAGCAGAACGTATGCAGAATTGTTAACATTTCTGAGCGGAAAGACTTTATTCCAATTTCTATGTAGTGTGTGTTATGTTTGCTTTTTTTAGCTGGGAGTCCGCTTCTTGCAATATCTGATACACTACATACATGTAAATACTTTTATAATGCTTAATAAAGTTTTTGAAATTTCAAAGCAATGCTAATATTTTTATGAAGAATTTTTTATGACATAATGGAAATCTGACGTGGTTTTCTTCGGCTGTTCTGAGAGCTTTATAATTCAAAGGCTAACAGGATAAAACTGCTACCATAATGTGTATTCATAAAATATTTGTAAATGTTTAATGGGGAAGCCATCTCCTCCATAAAATTAAATTAGGAGTTTCCTTAAATGGTGTTGAATAAAGCCTGAAAAGCCAGCTTACTAACAGAGCCGGACTTGGCCTAGTGATAATCATACCAGGCTGCGTACCTAAAGGACCAAAGTTAGCTGTTTAGCTCATGAACCGTTCAGGTGGAAAATAACAAATAAGAAATGCATTTATAAGAACTTCTGAATGAAAGAATAGAGCTTAGTAACATATAAATCACACCATATATTTATATTCATAGCCGACGAAAGTCTTTCACTCAATACCAGGGATCTCCAAGGCGACTAGAATACAAAAGACACTTATGGTTGAAACGCTACTTATAATAACAAATTGATTGGACAACAACTGTTACAGTGAATTTAGATGTGTAACGTATGTACGTTAGGCAATAAAGTAAATTGTTTTAAAATTGCTTCTAAACATTTTTAAACGTTTTTTTTTCAATATTAAGCAGAACAGATTTAGTGGAAAATTTTGTTTATGTTTAACAAACGTATTTTCAGCACGTTTTTATAATTTGTTCTTATTTTTTACGTCAACTCCAAATTACAAAATTTTCACATTATTTATTGATATATCATAATGCATAAACAGCCGAATATTTTCGCGTATTGTGCCTTTTTACATTGTTAGTAGGTAACTAGGTAAACCTCCTTCAGAAATACATCTTCTGCCTAAACAAGTAGCAACTATATAGAAAAGATAACGTGGGTTTTGGAGTTGTGAATAACGTCCAACGCCTTTTCACTACTGACATCTTAAAGCCCAAAACCAATGCAAAGTATTTACCAAAAATGTTATTTACTGGTACAGAATGGTTCGCAAATCTATACACTTATGCTCTTAACAGCATCTGAAAGACAACTTTAATATTTTTGAATTAAATTTCTGTAGATGAGGTTTTGTTTGAAATACATACATCTGAATTTATGTTAAAAGCTATAAATCAGAAATCTCTGACAAATGCTCGAGTTTTTCCAATATAAAACAATCAGAAAATAACATCCAACATAATAAACTAATCTACTTACATTCGAATGTAGCTATTGATTTCAGTCCTATATATAGATACACCTCTCACCATGAAGGTAAATTAAGATACTATTTCAAAGATTGACTTGTATGTCAGGAAAACTGTTTTTGGCACACTTACTTCACAAAGATAAAACTCTTTTCTCATAAGTTCAAAACTTTTAATACTATGAGAGAAATGAAATGGACAGGAAAAATACATTTTTGATGTTTAAAGATTAGGAATATACTCATGATCTCTTTGTCAGCTAATTATTATTTAACTTTGAAAATGATCAACTTAAACTAGTCCTTTACACGGTTATCCCCATATCTTACTTACTACTTAAATTGATTTCTGAATACTTATCACACATTTTAACACTGGTACTTAACCAAATTTCAAAGTATATATCATCAGCATGTATTTCATTATTTTACCTAATTTAACCCCTTCAACCTTTCAAAAACATTTTTGAATTTATGAAATACTTTTGCACGAGCTCAAAGAAACACATAGAAACGTTTTTTTCATCCTCAATAAAACTTCATTTAAAACTCTTGACGTTTCGGTGTTTCACTGCCATCATTAGGTGTGTCGTGTTACACATACAACACTGAGCAATTGATACAAAAAAAAAGGTCATTTCATCATATAGCTGAGGAAGGTGGAAGATTGCTACTTTTCTTACATAAAACTTGCTGATAAATTATACGTATTTAATGTTATGTTTGAATTACCATAGAAAATTTTCAATAAGTTCTCGTACATTAAATTCCATTTCCGTATTTGGTTTAATCAAGAATTTGACCACATCTTATGTTTGTCCCATTGTTGGATATATAGCCTTTGTGGTAATATTTTAAACTGCATTTGGTTTGACCTATGTATTTCTCGTATCACTTGCATGTAATTTCATGTATAAACGTTTCATCCAAGAACTGTATTTTAACTTTTATAACAGGAAGTATAATTTTTTTGTATTGATTGGTTTGAAAACAGGTATACATAACGTTTACAATTTTGTTCGTCACGTTTTTCGCCAATAGTATGGAGTACAACCATGTTTTGGGCTTTCTTATAATACTAACTCTTCAATTTAGTATACTTCATCATGTTATTACATATATTCTTTTCTTATGATGCGTTTTATCATGTCGATAAGGAAATTAGCAAGAAAATTAAAACTAGAATAGCTTACCTCCACAAAATAAGTCACCACGCTCATGGATGCAGACCACAGATAATAATGTACATTTACAAAACATTTATCAGACCCTTATTAGACTAAGGCTCTATGATAACCTGTAATATGAATAACAACCAACAGTTGATACTCCAAAAATTACAAAATAATGTAATACGTCTTACCCACCGCCTCCCTCACTACACACCAGCATGCTACGTTGAAAAACACACCTCACTACACACAATACAAAAACGCATTTCTAAACTTCCCACCAAATACTACAAAAAAAAGCCACCCACCGGAACTCACTCAAAGCCGAATTCCATAAACTTGCCGCCACCCCAAACCATGGCGCAAATATCTATCCCCATACAACATGATACACAAGACCACTATCATACCACCATGATCTATAAAACTATTAAGAGTATACTTTATTCTATGTATAACCATTTAAATCTTCAGTCTCTTTTCAGATCTTAAGCCCTTCAATAGCTCTTCACTCGGGCACTAGCCGGGCTTTTCTTTCAGTCCCGACTAGTGAAAGTGGGTTTTCTCGGGGTACTCCCGTTTCCCCCACACCAAACTCTTAAACATTGGATCTATAGATCCCAGCCATGGCACTTGGATCCACTGATCCCCGCCAGGCCCTGTAAAAGTCAGTTTGCTTCAGTTTGTTTCGATAAATTGTCAACAATGGCTGCCGACTTGCTCATTCTACAAGATCAACCGGCCTCTGCTACACCTTGGACTTGCCTTCACTTCCGCCCACTTGCCTCATCATCATCTGTATAC